GAATAGAATAGAATAGAATAGAATAGAATAGAATAGAATAGAATAGAATAGAATAGAATAGAATAGAATAGAATAGAATAGAATAGAACAGAACAGAACAGAACAGAATTTTTTATTGGCCAAGTGTGATTGGACACACAAGGAATTTGTCTTGGTGTATACGCTCTCGTATGTATGTATGTATGTATGTATGTATATGTATATATATGTGTGTGTGTGTGTGTATGATGTATATATGTGTATACACACGCACAGGTGCATATGTGTGTTATGTATGTTAATGGGTATGTTTATAGCTTCTTTTGAGAGCAGGCAACAGAACTTCATTTTTACTGCGGGCCAGTTTGCTCGCACTCCAACAACGACCATAAAGCTGCTCTTTATCTCGTGAGATAGCAGGGAAGATGGCCGGGGAGGATGGGCTTTGTGATTATCTGAAAGCGAAGGGGAGGGGAGGATGGGGCTGAAAGGCGGCATTGACGGGCACCTCCCGCCTCCGCTGCGCCTGCACAGCCTTGCAGCCCACCGGCCCCTTTCGCATTGCCGGCGCCTTCTTCTCCCTCCCCCCCCCCCCCCCCCCGTTTCCCCCCCCCCCCCACTTACCACGCGGCCTCCATTCATCTCTTGCCCTGCAGCGGCTGAACGTTCCAACCGGAAGGAACCTTCATGTTTTTCCTCCCCTCTTTCGCGTTCCATTCACCCCTCTTTCTCTCCCCTCCCCCCCCCCCCCCCCCCCCTTCTTATTCCATCCCCCCGGATTCCTACCCTTGCTGCCCCTCTACCCACCCCCTCTTTTTTTTTTTTTTTTTTTTTTTTTTTTTTAAATGCTTTAACCCCCTTTAAATACAGACTCATCCTCAACAGCCTGCGCCTGTCTTCAACAGGGAAGCGATATAGCCAGGGCAGAAAAACCACCCTGCAGCCAAGAAGCTTCCACGCCCATTTGCACCACTCAGGGGACCCTGAGGACACAGATATAACCTCCAAGTGGCCTCAACGATTCTAGTCTAAAACTAACACAAATATGGGAGCTTCATCATTTGAGACTTTGGAGAAAAGATTGGACTGCCATTTCTCAGAAATGGGGTAGTACAGGGGTGGGCAAAAATGGCCCCTTTATGACCTGTGGACTTCAACTCCCAGAATTCCTGAGGCAGCTTGGCTGGCTCAGGAATTCTGGGAGTTGAAGTCCACAGGTTGTAAAAGGGCCACAGTTGCCCACCCCTGGTGTAGTAGAGTCTCCTGCTTGAGGGGGAATAGGGGTTGGACCAGATGACCTATAACAGTGTTTCTCAACCTTTTTTTTTTTTAATTTGATTTATATGCTGCCCTTCTCCGGAGACTCAGGGCGGCTTACAATGCGTTAAGCAATAGCCTTCATACTTTTGTATATTTTTATACAAAGTCACCTTATTGCCCCCACAAACTAGGTCCTCATTTAACCTACCTCAGAAAGGATGGAAGGCTGAGTCAACCTTGAGCCTGGTGAGATTCGAACTTACAGTAATTGCAGACAGCTGGTGTTAATCACAATGCTTTTTAGTCTGCAGAGCCACCAGGCCACTGGATGATGTGTGGACTTCAACTCCCAGAATTCCCTGGGAGTTGAAGTCCACCCATCATCCAGTGGCCAAGGTTGAGAAACACCGACCTATAAAATCCCTTCCAACTCTGTTAATCTGTTAATTCAATACAGATTAATTCTGATACTTATGAACCAGCTCTCTGCAAGGAATATAATATCTTTCCATTCCCCACTATCCAGTTAAGAGCTGAAGAAGCTTCTTGGATGAGAAGCGAAACGTCTTCAAAAGAAAAAAGTCCTGTTGCCTCCTGAAAAAAGCACCTTTGGGACCCTTAAAATGCTTAAGAGGGGATCTACAGGATCCTACAGCGTATTGTTTAGAGCAGAGGTCTCCAACCTTGCCAACTTTAAGACTTGTGGACTTCAACTCCCAGAATTCCCCAGCCAGCATGCTGGTGGGGGGGGAACCCCTCCTGATTTGGGGCTGATATAAACTAGTCCAGCTTTCTTGCCATTAAAAGGACAGAAGATGTATTTATTTTATAATTTGATTTCTCTTCCATCTTTATTTTATATACCTTCCAGGAATCCTCTAATAGCTTTGGATTTGCTTAGTTGAAAAGAAGAGTTTCTCAACCCTAATTATTTGGTAACTTTCTGCCTTTTAATAAAATTTGCTAACTTGTTAATTTTTATTTAATGTGGGTTGTGCCCGACCAAACTTTGAATGAGATCAACTGTTACTTCCCATAAGCAATGGTTTTGTTTTCAACCTTAGCATCTTTAATATGTGTGACTTCAACTGCCAGAATTCCCCATCTAAGCATGGATCAGTTGTAAATGTGCAGGTGTGTTTCTGTGTAATAATAATAAAAAAGAATTCCCCGTTTTACCACGGAAATCTGCTGGAGATCTATTGCACCGACTCCCCAAAGCTGGTTCTCATGATATGTTTTGACTGAAGGACTAAATCAACTCATTTTCTGGGTCGATCCCAGCTCAGCCCTTTGCTTTTAGGCCAGAAAGTGGACAAACACAGCAATGACCGAGGGCAGCAAAGTGGAAAAATGACATTATAGAGCCCCAAGGGGAAGCGCTAATAGTCTGTGCTGACATGGGGCCAGATGGCTAACCAGATTGCGGTGAGCTTTCTTCAGACTCCACCCCTCCACCAGGAAAGGGGTCAGGAGAGGGCTTTGCATGTCAAAGCCTCCCCCACCCCCATTGTAAAGATCTTCCTCATTAGATAGAGATCAGGTTGGGGGGCAAAGACTCAGACAAGTCAAGCAGTTGGTCTTCTGAAGCCCACTTTATAATTCATTCATTTACAAAACTTATTTCTGAAATCTATGGGCTGGCCCCGCCTATGACAACACTACATCCTTTTGATTATAAAATGATGGAACCAGGGGTGAAATCCAGCAGGTTCTGACAGGTTCTAGAGAACTGGTAGCGGAAATTTTGAGCAGTTCCGAGAATCGGTAGTGGAAATTTTGAGTAGTTCGGAGAACTGGCAAATACCACCTCTGGCTGGCCCCAGAGTGGGGTGGGAATGGAGATTTTGCAATATCCTTCCCCTGGAGTGGTGTGGGAATGGAGATTTTGCAGTATCCTTCCCCTGCCACGCCCACCAAGCCACGCCCACCAAGCCACGCCTATAGAACCGGTAGTAAAAAAAATTGGATTTCACCACTGGATGGAACTATCTTGACTTTCCACCCAGGGGATGGGGGTGAGCGGATATGAAGTAAGTAAACAAAATTAACAAGAGTAAAATGAATAAGGGTAGTCCTCGACTTACAACAACTCGCTTAGTGACCGTTCAAAGCTACAATGGCCCTGAAAAAGTGACTTCGGACCGTTTTTTTCACAATTACGACCTTTCCAGCATCCATTCCTCATGGTCACATGATCAAAATTCAGATGCTGGGCAACTGACTCATATTTATGACCGGGTGTCATGTGATCCCCTTTTGCGACCTTCTGACAAGCAAAGTCAATGAGGAAGCCAGGTTGACTTAACAACCGGGTTACTAACTGATCAACTGCAGGGATTCACTTAACAAATGAGGCAGGAAAGGCCATAAAACGGGGCAAAATTCACTTTAACAAATGTCTCACTTAACAACAGAAATGTTGGGCTCAATTGTGGTCGTAAGTTGAGGACTACCTGAAGTGGAAGTAGAGTCTACCTCTTTACACATCTGTTGGAATATGCAATTTCTTGTCTTAATGTCCCTCCCTTTTGCTAGATATTTTTTGCCAGCCCAACTCAGAGTCCTCCAGAAGTTGAACTACAATGACAATAATCCCCAGGAAACGTATTCTTTCCCTTTTTGGAAACCTAAAGCAGTATTTCTCAACCTTGGCAACTTTTAAGATGGGTGGACATCAATTCCCAGAATTCCCCAGACAGGGAATTCTGGGAGTTGAAGTTCCCCCCATCTTAAAATGCTGCACTAAATATATGAGGTCTCATATGATGTGAGGATCCAGCCCAGAAATTGTACTCGCTCATCTGGATGATAGGATATCCAGGAAGACTGATATATTTAGTAATGTTGTCAGCTTTTTAAATTATTATTATTATTATTATTACTATCATCATCATCACAGTCAGCCAGATGTTCAGGCTGGGTTCGGCATTTTTGTCTACCTATCTATCTGGGAGAGGCAGATCTGGATGTTTGACGGTGTTACAGATCTTGTCGCAGGATGGAAACTGTTCCAAGTAAAGCTGTCTTCTGCAATTGACTGATGGCAAATTTGTCAATGCCGACGGTGTTCAAGTGGTGCTCCAGTTGTTTTGGGACTGTACCAGTGGTGGGTTGCCCCCGGTTTGGACCGATTCGCATGAACCGGTAGTAAAACTGGCGGGAGGCTCCGCCCACTGACCTGGACGTCATCATAGGTGATCTGCGCACGCACAGAAGATTCTGTGCATGCGCAAAAGAGCGTGGGTGCGGGCGCGATGCGAACTGGTAGTAAAGGTAAGTAGAACCCACCCCTGGACTGTACCCAAGGCGCCTATTAGTATTGGAACTACCCTTGCTTGTCTTTGCCACAGTCATTCTATTTCTATTTGCAGGTCTTTGGGCGAACTGGATGCTAATTTTTACATCTGGTTCACCGAACCGGTAGTTGCAAAGGACTGGCTGTGTCAGGGTGCTAATTAATCCCATTTTGCTTTTGGGTAATCGCACCTTGATTTAGAAACGTGGATCGAGACTTTTCCCTTGAAGCATACTTTAAGAAAATAAACCCGAAGGTATATCTTCTAAGAAAAACTCATTTATTTGTTATAAAGAAAATAAAACATCTCAGTATCTAAATTAGTTACATTTCGGCAAAGATCCCGGCCACCTCTTCTTGGCCGGACCTCTCCTGGCAGGAGAACAAAGAAAGATAGAAGAAAGTGAAGGAATGTGGACATGCGCAGTTATCTTACTGATAAGAAACTTGGCAAGCTACGGAAAGTCTGAAAGTCCAAAAATATGAGCTCATCTGGTAAATACAAAAACGCAGTGACAGGCTGGCTCCACCCACCCTGCCCCGTCCCTCCCAGGAGTCTCCACGCAGCCGGGTATGGAGGCTCTGGGAAGGGAAAAAACAGGCTTTCCAGAAGTTCTGGAAGTCTGGAAATGGGCTCATTTCCGGTCTCCAGAGGGCCTCCGGAGCCTGGGGGAGGCTGTTTTTGCCCTCCTGGAGGCTCAAGGAAAGCCTCTGGAGCCTGGGGAGGGTAAAAAACGGGCCACCCCGACGTTCAGATATGGGCCCGTTTCCAGCCTCTGGAGGGTCTCCAGAGGCTTGGGGAGGCCATTTTCGCCCTCCTGGAGGCTCGAGGAAAGCCTCTGGAGCTTGTGTAGGGTGAAAACGCCCCCCCCCACCATGGTGCAGGAGGTCGAGTAGGCCACGCCCACCCAGCAACCAGGCAGAGAACTGGTTGCTAAAATTTTTGAATCCCACCTCTGGTTAAGGCTTGATCTTGTGCAGCCAGAATGATAATGTTGTTGTTGTTATTAAGATCAAAATCTCACTCAATCAAATGCCCTGCCTCTATTATGAAGCAGAAAGAGGCAAATCCTTGGCTCTTAAGAAGAACAGCTGGCACAGAAGGCAACGAATGAATGAAATTGACTTGCTCTGGTTTGAAAAAGAAGAGAGAGATAACCAGTGGACACTGTCTGCTTTTGACGGTGTCTGGGCTTTTGCTCAGCTACGATCTGCTGAGTAAGGCTCACCCATCAGGGCTTAAGTGGCGATATGTAAACCAGGCTTTAACAGCAATTTTTCCCATCTGGTGCTTTCCAGATGGTGGGATTACAACTCCCAGAATTCCTTGCTCCCAAACCATCTGGAGGGTACAATCTGCTTTGAAGCCTCCCCCTCCCTTATTTTTTTTTCCTTGATCATATTCTGGATTTTGACAAAATAGCCTGTCTGTTGAGATCCTCTTATTTTTGCAACGGTTGCAGGAAGAGGAAAGGAATCTCTGACAAGAAGAAAATAGCTGTATTAAATAGACATTGAACAGATTATGGGTTTGATGGCCAGGCCCACGGTACAGGTAGTCCTTGACTTACAACAATTCATACAGCAACCTTTCAACATTACAATGGCACTGAAAAATGTAACTTATGACTGGTCCTTGCATTTCCGACCATCACAGCATCCCCAATGTCACGTGATCAAAATTCGGGCACTTGGCAACTGGAATGTACAGGTAATCCTTGATTTATGACTACAATTGAGCCCAACAATGTCTGTTGCTAAACGAGAAACTTGTTCAGTGAGTTTTGCCCCATTTTACGACTTTTCTTGCCAGAGTTGCTAAGTGAATCACTACAGTTGTTCAATTAGCCACACGGTTGTTAAGTGAATCTGGCTTCCCCATTGACTTGGCTTCCCAGAAGGTCACAAATGGGGATCACGGGATCCAGGGACAGGGCAACCGTCATAAAGATGAACCAGTTGTCACTGGTTACTACTTTTCCCAGTGTCGTCATAACTTTGAACAGTCATTAAATGAACTGTTGTAAGTCGAGGGCTACCTTTTATTTATGATGGTTACAGCATCCCAGCGTCGCGTGATCGCCATTTCTGACTTTCCCAGTGGCTTCCGACAAGCAAAACCAATGAGAGGATTTGCTAAACGACCACATGATTTGTACCTTATGACTATCATTAAGTGTTGTACCTTATGATTCTTGATGAACGTATCTTTTCTTTTATGTATACTGAGAGCATATGCACCAAGACAAATTCCTTGTGTGTCCAATCACACTTGGCCAATAAAAAAAAAATTTCTATTCACTTAATAATACAGTTAGTCCTCAACCTATGACAATTGAGCCCAAATTTTCTGTCACTAAGCAAGACAGTTGCTAAGTGAATTTTGCTCCATTTTACGACCTTCCTTGCCACAGTTGTTAAGCGAATCACTGCAATGGGTAAATTAGCCGTAATGCGAATCTGGCTTCCTCATTGACTTTGCTTGTTGGAAGCTCACACAAGGTGATCACATGACCTGGGAATATGGCAACTGTCATAAATATGAGCCATGTTGCCAAACATCCGAATTTTGGTCACATGACTGTTGGGGATGCTGCAATGGTAGTTAAGTATGAATAATTGTCATAAGTCACTTTTTTCAATACCACATAACTATGAATGGCCACTAAACAAATGGGTTGTAAGTTGAGAACTATCTATATTCAGCTGTCATACATGGACAGGTTTATATGTGTGTGCATATAATATACAGCAGTGGCCAAAATTGTTGAAACCTTTTGAGAAAAGTGTATTTTCTAAAACTGGCTAATAACACCACTTTTTTTTGGAGTAGTACCATAAAATTATATATCAAGGGAAAAATAATGTAATCAAGAATGTAATGCAATAACTTTTAGGAAGGATTTACTATTAGAATAGCAGTTACAGTATAAGGAAGAAAAGTGAAACACGTAGAAAAAACAAGATGTACAAAAAATATCATCATGTCAGTTAATACTAAGTTGGGTAACCTTCAGCATGAATTATGGCCTTACAACATCTTCCCATGTCTTTTAGTTCTGCAGCTGTTATAATGTGAAACCAAGATTGAATGATGGCTTCTATTAACTGGGTTTTATTGCTGGGTCGCTTCTGACTAACAAGTTTCTTTAGTCGGCTCCACAGATTTTCAGTTGGGTTAAGATCTGGGCTATTCCCAGGCCATTCCAGCAGTGGAATAGGATTATCTTGAAACTCCAAGAAAAAAAATAAAAATGGTGTTATTAGCCATCAAACCTCAAAAATACACTTTTCCCAAAAGGTTTCCACAATTTTGGCCACCACTGTATATAGTAGATTCACACCCACTTATCTATGTGTTGGGTTTTATCCATTTTAATATAAATTTTAAGATTTCAGCTATTAAATGACCAATGTTTTAATGTGTTCATTGTATATAATTTGTTTTATTCTGTTATTTAGGATATTGTAAGCTGCGCAGAGTTGCTTGGAGGAGATCAGAGGCCTACAAATTTAATAAACTAACAAACATAGGTATGAAGGTCAGCTGAGTGACTCAATCATTCACTTTCAGCCCAACCCACCCCCACCTCACAGGGGAAATCAAGAGGAGAACAGATTATTAGGGATGTTCGCTTGAGTTACCTATAAAGTAAAAAAGGTGGGATAAAAAAGTCTGAACAAACAGATACAGGCAATCCTCGATTCACAAGAGTTCTCTTAGTAACCGTTTGAAGTTACAACTGCACTGGAAAAAGTGACTTACGACCATTTTTTCTTACGACCGTTGCAGCATTTCCATGGACATGTGATTTACATTCTGATGCTTGACAACTGATTCACATTTACAACGGATGCAACATCCCGGGGTCACGGGATCCCCTTTTGCGACCTTCTGACAAGCAAAGTCAAGAAGGAAACCGGATTCACTTAACAACGATGTTACTCATTTAACAACTGCAGTGATTCACTTCACAAATGTGGCAAGAAAAATCGTAAAACGGGGCAAGACTCACTGAACAAATTTCTCACTTAGCAAGTGAGAATAAATTTTGGGCTGTTTCGGTCGCAAGTCAGGGATTACCTGTAGAGACAGAGAGGATAGATGGATGGATGGATGGATGATTGGTAGGTTGGCAGGCAGATAGATCAAAATTGATAGATGGATAGATAGATGATAGGGTAGGGTAGGGTAGGGTAGGGTAGGGTAGGGTAGAATAGAATAGAATAGAATAGAATAGAATAGAATAGAATAGAATAGAATAGAATAGAATAGCACAGTTGGAAGGGACCTTGGAGGTCTTCTAGTCCAACCCCCTGCTTAGGCAGGAAACCCTACACCGTTTCAGACAAATGGTTATCCAACATCTTCTTAAAAACTTCCAGTGTTGGAGCATTTACATCTTCTGGAGGCAAGTCGTTCCACTGATTAATTGTTCTAATTGTCAGGAAATTCCTCCTTAATTCTAAGTTGCTTCCGTCCTTGATTAGTTTCCATCATTGCTTCTCGTTCTGCCTTTGGGTGTTTTGGAGAATAGATAAAGCTAGCTAGCTAGCTAGATGATAGATAAATGATAAATAGATGGTAGGTAATGATATAGATGATAGATAGATAGATAGATAGATAGATAGATAGATAGATAGATAGATAGATAGATAGATAGATAGATAAAGATAAGATATAAGATAGATAAATGATAGATGGTAGATAACGGATAGACAGACAGACAGACAGACAGAGATAGATAGATAAACATACAGAGAAAGATAGATATAAGATAGATAAATGACAGATGGTAGATAATGATGGATAAATAGACAGACAGACATAGATAGATAAAGACAGACAGACAGACAGACAGACAGATAGATAGACAGAGAAAGATAGATAGATATAAGATAGATAAATGATAGATGATAATGATGGATAGATAGACAGACATAGTAAAGATAGATAGATAGATAGATAGACAGAGAAAGATAGATATAAGATAAATAAATGATAGATGACAATCATGGATAGATAGACAGACATAGATAAAGATAGATAGATAGATAGATAGACAGACAGAGAAAGTTAGATAGATAGATATGAATAGATAAATGATAGATGATAATGATGGATAGATAGACAGACATAGACAGATAAAGATAGATGGAGAGAGAGAGATGCACCTGTGTGTATTTTTAACCCTGACCCAGTCAGTACCTTCCTCGGCTTTGCCATCCTGAAAGCCGGGAGGCGCGTCTCTCCGCCCCCACGATCCCCAACCGCCACCGGATTCTTTTGTTCTCAGAGCCCCGCAAAGCAGGTAACCGGGGCCTCCGCCACAACCCCTGGCCTGATTCTTTATTATTATTATTATTATTGTTATTATTTTTTGTTCGCGTGCAGGCGATTTCGGGGTGTCTGTGTTCCTTCCTTCCTTCCTTCCTTCCCTCCGCGTCAGTCGATCCCTTTCTCTGTCTCTCTCTCACACACCCGAAGTCTGCTCTAGGGCGGACTTGGTTGTTTGAATGGGGAGCTTTGTCTTTGCCGGGGAAACCCCCTCCTTTCAAACCCTTCGCCCTTCCGCCTCCTCCACTCCACTTCTGTGTTGTTTTTTTTGTCCAACCAACATCTCAGGTCCGGTTAACCCTCTCCTCGCAACTGCGCCCCTTTTGCCGGATCTCTCTTTTTGTGTGTATGTGTGTGTTTTGTTGCGTGTTGTTTCGAAAGCCGGGAGATTTCGAAAGCCTTTTTGTTTTATTTTTTTTTGTTTTATTTTTTTTTGTTTTTTTTTTCAAATCCCCCGCGCCAAAACGCGCGCGCTCCGCGGGCTGCGCTTTTGGGTTTGTTTTGTATTTTTACGCGCGCCGGTTCCGGCTTCTCCAAATGCGCCCCGGCTGGAGTTCTAAATTGCGGGATCGGGGCGAGATCGTTTCCATATTTTTTTTTCTTTCCCTCCAGAAAACCCGGTGGGTGGGGAGTGGGTGGCGGGGGGAGATCGGGGGTGGGGGGAGCGGATCCTTTTCCTTTCCCGAGAAGGAAAGGTGCCGGACGGGTTAAACCGATAGAGGCCCCCGCCGTTTCCCAGAGAGGAAGAGAAACTTGAGCTTGGAGAGAGAGGCTTTGAGAAACCCCAGGCCCCTCTTTTCTTTTTTTCCCTTTTTTTTCTGATGGGAGGGGAAGCGAGCCCCGAACTGGATCCGAGTTGTTGTGTTTTGTTTTGCTTTCTTTCCTTTTTTTTTTTTTTTTTTGGGGGGGGGTGGATTGAAAGAGAGCGAGAAAAGAGCGGAAGAAATGTGCCGGGGGACGCGCGGTGTTGGTAAGCGAGCGAGGCGGGCGGGAGGTGTTTTGCAACAGAAGGGAACTTCCCCCCCACACCCGCTCGCTTGCAAAATATATATATATATATATTAAAAAGTAGCAGAGGCGGGAGAAATGGATCCGGAGTAAACTGACCCGGGCTGCTGCTGCTGCTGCTTCTTCCCCCGCCCCGCTTCCCAGGCTCCGATCGCGGGTAGCCAAGGGAGGTTTTTATTTTTTGCGCGGCGGCTCCCAACCCAGCATGGCCTCACCCTCTCTCCCCGCAGGACAATGGCTGAGCCAAGGACAAGGCGAGGGGGAGGGAGGGAGGGAGGCAGGGATCCCCGTGCAACTCACGCCCCACACCAGCTTTACCCCCCTTTTTTTCTCTCTCTACCTCTACCTCCTTTTTCCCTGCTTCCCTTCCTTCCTTCCCCCCATTCGCTCTCCACCACCCCCACCCCCAGATCCGATCTCCTGGAAGGCGGAGAGAGAGAGAGCGCCTCGCACCCGGGATCGCCGCCTGGACCTTTTGTGCGTTTGGGGGAGGGGATCAATTAGTGTATAATTAGTGTATATATATTACTATATATACACTATATATATATAAATATATATATATATATACAAAATAGATATATAATTTTATATATATATATAAAAGGAGGCGGCCGCCGGATCCTGGAAAGAATTGGATCCGGAATGAAATCGCTTTTTGCGCCGTCGCTCGATCTGACTTTCTGAGGTGTGTGGGGGGGGGAGAAAAGCTTGCGGGATCTTTTTGGATCTTTTGTGGGGGGGGATTTCCTCGCGGCTCTGGAAGCTCCGAAGGGAGCCCCGCGGGACAAAACAAAACAAAACAAAAAGGAAAAAAAAAGGGAAGCCCTGAGGGCAGAGTTGAGTTTCGGAAAGGTTGGATTAAACTCGGTTTGCGCGGTCCGGGGATCGACTTTTATTTTTCTCTTCCCCCCCCTTTTTTTTTTTCCGATCGGACACGGAGATCGGACTGAGCGGACACGCACGTGAGAAACGGAGGAGGGAAAGCCCGACACGGGAGAGCTGCTTTATCTTTTATTTTATTTTTTTTGCAAGGACGCTGGTTGTAGAGATGTCGGGAGTTGAGGCTATTGTGTCTGGGATTAAGGCTCTCAGCTCACGGCGGTGTATTTTTTTTTCAGCGATGGGGAATTAATGTTACGGTTGCTCTGGGTAACCCCTTGGAAATCCCCCGGATCTATTGTATTGTAGATCGGTCGATCTTCTCTCTCTCTCTCCTTTGAACCCCCCACAATAGCACTAGCAATAGCATTTAGACTTGTATATTACTACTTCACAGTGTCCCAAAGGTGCTTTTCTCAAGAGGCCATTGGACTTTGGGGTTTTTCTTTGAAGATGTTTCGCTTTTCATCCATGGATCCATCCATCCATCCATGGATTTATTTATTTATTTATTTATTTATTCATTTATTCATTCATTCATTCATTCATTCAGCTTGTGTGCTGCCTTTCTCCGAAGACTCAAGGCGGCTTACAAGGCACCCAAAAACCATATATAAAACATTAAAAGTTAAACCATTAAAAACAATTAAAACCCATTCACACCATTCATGGCCGGATCTCGCCAAATCGCAGCAGCGAGATCACCGGCCCGGAAGAGCCAGGTCTTCACCCCTTTTCGGAAGGCCAATAGGGTGGGGACGAGAAGCGAAAGGTCTTCAAAGAAAAACCACAAAGTCCAGTGGCCTCTTGAAAAAAAGCACCTTTGAGACACACGACCTGGATGACTGAGAATCTCCATAGACATTTACCGCTTCACAGTGCTTTTGCAGCCCCCTCTAAGCAGTTTACAGAGTCGGCATATTGCCCTCCACTCAAAATCTGAATCCTCATTTTACTGACCTGGGAAGGATGGAAGGCTGAGTCAGCCTTGAGCCGGTGAGGGCAACAACTGCAGTGCAGAATTCTCACTATCCAAAGTCTCGTCTAATCAGAGATAAAGCCCAAGTGGATTCATTGGGGTGGATCCCAGAGGAACTAGGGAGTTTTTGCCCCAAAACAGGTTGTGGTGGGCTGCCATTGCCAACTTGGTGCCCCCCCCCCAGTTGTGATTTGATCTGGAAGTTGAAATCTAGAAGTGTTTCAAAAGATCCCCGGTTGAACAAAGGATGAGCAAATCACTTTGGAAGTGGCTCAGAATCTAATTTTTCCAATAATTTACTAAAACGCACCTCAAAGGAGTGTAAATAGTGAGGATGGGCAAAACAGTAAATAGTGAGGATGGGCAAAACAGTTTTGAAACGGCTCAGAATTTTAATTTTTCCAATAATTTACTCCTGTTGCATACAACTCTAAGCAGCTTACGCTCCAGGGACGGTAATTAAAAAATAATAAAATGAGCCACCTGCTTTCTAACAGCAAAGAGAGCACATCACAATGGTCTGTGCCCCCACCACTACCACGGCACAAGGGATCAACATTCCTAAACAGGTTTCAGAAGTGTTCTACTGTGGCCTGGTTTTTTTAAAAAATAATTTGCATTTTATGAAAGCAAAAAACAAGTCCAAATAACGCTTGCAGACGTTTTCCCGAATGCTTCTTTAAATAGCTCACTTTTTTTCCCAAGAGGGTAGAATTCAATTTGTCACAGCAACTGGGACCAGAATATGGACTGTTGTTAAGCAAGGAGGTTATGAGTCTGATTTTGAGACTCTTTTTTTTTGCCACAGTTGTTAAGCAAATCGATGCGGTTGTTAACGGAATCCCGTGGTCATTAAGCGAATCTGCTTTTCCCATTGACTTTGATGATTGGAAGCCGGCTGGGAGGATCTCTAATGGTGATCCACAATGGATGCTGGAACCTTTGTAGATCCATGCTGATTCCCATTTTGATCACGTGATTGTGGGAGTGCTGCAATGGTTGTAAATTGCGAGGAGCCTGAGTGGCGTAGGAGGCTAATGCCTCCTACTAAGGCAGCATTTAACATCCAGCTGCCTGCAATTACTGCGAGTTCAATTCTCACCAGGCTCAAGGTCGACTCAGCCTTCCATCCTTTCTAAGGTGGGTAAAATGAGGACCCAGTTTGTGGGGGCAGTAAGCTGACTTTGTATAAAATATACAAAAGTATGAAGGCTTTGCTTAACGCACTGTAAGCCACCCTGAGTCTCCGGAGAAGGGCGGCATATTAAAAAAAAATAAAAATAAGTTCAAGGACTTACAACTTACATGTTACTTTTTTTCAGTGCTGTTGTTCGCTAAGTGAATGGTTGCAAATTGAGGATTACCTGTAGTGGGCCTTTCTGTTATTTATGATTCAGACATAATATGCTTGTTTTTATCTCTGATTGCTACTTCCTAATACACAAATGTGCTACGTGTTGAAATCTCAACTGTATGTGTGCTGGAGGTTTATAGTGTGATGGTGGAGGTATTTCGCAGGCCGTAAGGGTTCCTTCTCTTGCTTTGACTCTGGAAATCACAGGTAATCCTCGATTTACAACAGTTCATTTACTGACCGTTTGAAGTTACAATGGCACTGAAAAAAATGACATAACTGCTTTTCCACACTTACTACATCCCCAGGGTCATGTGATCAACATTCAGAATAAACAGAGTTTATTCACTCTTAGCAAGCTGGCCTTTTTATGATGGTCGCCATTTTCCCCAGGGTCGTGGGATCCCCTTTTGCGACCTTCTGACAAGCAAAGTCAACCGATTCACTTAACAGCCGTGTTATTTAGCAGCTGCGGTGATTCACTTAACAGCTGGGGCAAGAAAGGTTGTAAAACGGGGCAGAACTCACCTAACAACTGCCCTTGCTTAGCAACAGAAATTTGGAGCGTAGTTGAGGCTGTAAGTCCAGGACCACCTGGTATATATTATTTCTACCCCCTTTATTCATTTATTTATATGCATAATCCATCCCAATTTGACTAACTCTGGGAGCTGTTCTTGAGCAAAGCGTAATCTTAAAAGCAATATTGTATGGGACATAAAGTGACAATGAAGGAATGGATGTCCTAAGGCCTAGAAAGCTGTTGAATCAGGTGATTTTAGACAGTTGGGCTATAAATAGAGTGGAAAATCTGTGGGGTCCTTGATGATCTCTGAGCTTGGTGGTTTTTCTTGCAGGTATTTCATTACCAAACTAGGTAACAGCCTTGGTGGCGCAGCAGACTAAAGTGTTGTTAAGTAGCACCAGCTGCCTGCAATTACTGCAAGTTCAAATCTCACCAGGCTCAAGGTTGACTCAGCCTTCCATCCTTTCGAGGTAGGTAAAATGAGGACCCGGATTGTGGGGGCAATAAGCTGACTTTGTATAAAAAAGAACACCGCTTGGGGGGGAAAATTATTTAATTCGTTTTTAATCTATTTTAAATTTTTGTATCTCTGTGTTTTATCTTCTGGCTGTTCACTGCCCTGAGTCCTTCGGGAGAAGGGCGGTATAGAAATTTAATAAAAGAAAGAAAGAAAGAAAGAAAGAAAGATAGATAGATAGATAGATAGATAGATAGATAGATAGATAGATAGATAGATAGATACACATACACAAAAGTATGTAGGCTATGGCTTAAAAGCATTGTAAGCCGCCCTGAGTCTCCGGAGAAGGGTGGCATATAAATCGAACCAATCAATCAATCAATCAACAAACAAACAAACAAACAAACATCATCAGTGTTTGAACTGCATGTTTCCCCATCGGTGCCCCCCTTCGTGCGTTTGGGCCTTTTCCTTAATGTGTGTTCTTACATGCGTGCGAGGCTTTTTTCTCTAATCCAGCGTTTCCTATGCTGACCGGGGAATTCTGGGAGTTGAAGTCCACTCATCTTACAGTGGTTGAGAAACCTTGTTCTAATCTGTGTGTTTTCGTGTGCCCCTTTTCCAGCTCTGAACTTCGTAAGAATGACCAGAAGATGCCAGATTTCGGCGTAAGAGGGTGCCTGCGGGGTGTGTAAACAAAGGTAAGCTCTCATTACAAATAGGCTGAAATGAGTTGCAAGGACTGATGCTCCTGCTTATTGTTTTAACAGCTTTTTGCATTTTAGTGACAAGAACCTAAGAAAAGCTGTGCTGAGCAAGGTCACCGGCTAGTCAGATTTGGGGCTGTGTGTCATCCAGTGGATGGGTTTCTATAACATACTTCCCCTGGTTACCCAGTAACTGAGATTAAAATAGAAATTAGCCTGTCCTGCAAATGAAGATGCTAGGTATCTGTCCATCCATTATCTATCTATCCATCTATCTACCTATCTATCTATCTATCCATCTATCCATTTATATCTATCTATCTATCTATCTATCTATCTATCTACTATCTATCTATCTAAATAGATATATATATATATATATATAAGATATATCTATATATACATCTCTATATCTATTTATATATATATATCTATTTACCTCTATCTATCTATCTATCTATCTATCTATCTATCTATCTATCTATCTCTATCTATCTATCCATCCATCTATCCATCTATATCTATCTATCTATCTATCTATCCTATCTATCTATCTATCTATCTATCTATCTAAATAGATATATATATAAAAAAGATATATCTATATATACATCTCTATATCTATTTATATATATCTATCTATTTACATCTATCTATCTATCTATATCTATCTATCCATCTATACCTATCTATCTCTATTTATCTCTATCTATTATCTATCTATTTATTTATATAAATAAATAACTTTATTGTCATTGTACGATGTATACACAGTATACCCATACAACGAAATTCACTTAACACCCAAAGACCAGGTCCAACACACATAACAATCCCCAAACACCCACCCACCCACCACAATTCCCCACCACTAAACCACCCAAACATCCACACAACAGACCAAGTAATGCTGTCCAACAGCTCACTGATGGTGGCCCTTTAGTTCATTGTTGAGTGCAATTATAGCTCTGGGATAAAAACTATTCAGAAAACGTGCGGTCCGAGTTTTAATTGTTCTGTATCTTCTGCCAGAAGGCAACAGTCCAAAAAGATTGTAAGCAGGATGGGTAGAGTCTCTGAGAATGTTATGCAACTTTCTCAAACAGCGAGATTCAAAGATGTTGTTCATTGCTGGTAATTTTTTTTTTTTTTTTTAATTTGATTTATATGCCGCCCTTCTCCGAAGACTCAGGGCGGCTTACAATGTGCTCAGCAATAGCCTTCATCCTTTTGTATATTTATACAAAGTCAGCTTATTGCCCCCACAAACTGGGTCCTCATTTCACCTACCTTAGAAAGGATGGAAGGCTGAGTCAACCTTGAGCCTTGGCGAGATTCGAACCCTGCAGTAATTGCAGGCAGCTGGTCTTAAGCAGCTTAATAACAGGGTGCCTTAAACCCTAGTACTACCAAGGAGTCCAATGATATTCTGGGCAGTTTTAATGATTGTCTGTAGAGCTTTTTTTGTCTGCTACAGAGCTGCTCCCATACCATGCAAGAATGCCAATGGTGCTGCGATAGTAGGACAGAAGTAGATGCTGAGATAGATTTATCTTCCTGAGCATTCTCAGGATGCCCAGAATTTTAAAACTACCTACCCTCTCCACCTCCTCACCATTTATGTACAATGGTAGATGTACATCTCTCTTCCTCCTGAAGTAAATTATAAGTTCTTTAGTTTTTGTGGTGTTAAGTGTGAGATTATTTTCATTACACCACAATGTTAGCCCTTGTACTTCCTTCCTGTAAGCAGACTCATTGTTCTTATTAATAAGCCCCACCACTGTTGTGTCATCCGCAAATTTAATAATTGCGTTGGTGTTATACAATGGAGTGCAGTCTGTTCTGTCCCCGTCTCACACACGCACACAAACAGATAGCCTGGGGTTAAATAAAACTGGCAGACAACAAATTCTTTCGATAAGAGGATTGGCAGCAACCCAGTAGCTGCTTGCCAAGAACTTTACTCATAGAGGGAGGGGTTGTTCCTCCGACAGATAAACCCAAACAAGATACACACAGTTCAAGAATTGTCAAGTCCAGTCCGTATTAAATCCAAGGCAGATAACGTTGTTTCAAAGATACAATGTGACTCGCTAGTAGTTAGTTTTGTCCGTCACAGAGTCTAAATGGCCACCTCACCCCCTTTTATCCCCTGTAGGGTGTGGTCCAGTGACTCAGCTTAATCTCTGGCACGCCTCCTTTTCTGCTGCGTGTGCTTGTCTCTCCGACGCTGGCGTGGATCCAGCCAAGACTTATCTCCGTCACTGTCCGACTGCGAGGAGATACCTGGCTCCTGGCCAATCTCTTTTCCTTTGGGAGACCCCTGAGGCATTGCCAGAGAGGAGGGTCCTGGAGAGGGAGGCCTGACCAACTCCTCATCCTTCATGTTCGGAGCCTTCTCCCTCCGATAAGTCGGCCTCGGGGGTCGGAGTCACAACACAGTCATGTGTGTATAAGGAATAAAGGAAAGAGCTTAGCACACAGCCCTGAGGGGCTCCTATGCTTAGTATCAGAGTAGAGGAATGGCAAGATCCCATCCTTACCGACTGTGGCCTACCTGTCAGAAAATCCCTTATCCACAAACAAATCCTCTGATTTATTTTATACCCAAATTGGACATTTTAAAAAACAACCTGTTGGGTGAAATGGTTTTAAAGGCAGAGCTATCATCCACAAATAACAGCCTCGCATATGTCCCCTGTTGTTCCAAGTGATTCAATACAGTATGGACAACAAGAGACATAGCATCGGCAGTTGATCTATTACCCCTATATGCAAATTGGTATGGGTCCAAAATAGATGGAAGACTAGCCTTAATATAGTTCAACACCAGCCTCTCAAAACATTTCAGGACAACAGATGAAATCTGTTGAGGGATTTCTTCCTTGTTTATATTCAGGAGCTTTCTCTGCTTATGCTGGTGAGGGTGTGGTTTTCTGTTTGATAGTTCCTTGATTAGGATACTGTATTGCTTTCTGCTTGATGAGTGGTGCAGTGGCCTAGAGGTGGAGCTCTCGCCTCACAATCAGGAGGCTGTGAGTTTGATCCTAGGTAGAGGTAGATAGTTCTCTCTTTGGGCACACTGAGAATATATCTGCTGAAAAAAACTCAGCATTGGCAACAGGAAGGGCTCCAGCCAGTAAATACTCAGCTTGATTCAGATGCCCAGACTCCACCCCGCAAGGGATTATGGGGTTGTTAAAAGAGGATGATGATTGCTTGATGTTTGTCTCCTTAGTCTCAACCTTGGCAACTTTAAGATGTGTGGATTTCAGTTCCCAGAATTCCCCAGCAAGCCTTGTTGTGTTGACTTCTTTACTGACTTCTTTCCAAGAGGAATTTGGGGATGGCTAAATTGTTGAGGGATTCTTAGTCCCCCTCCCTTTCTGTTTTTGTCCCCATCCTTCAGGTAAAAGACTTTTTCATCAACTCCTGATTTCATTCGTTTGGAGACTCGGGGTGCCCTTTTGAGACAAAGCTTCCATCCCTCTCAGCCTCGCCTTCCAGGAAAAACAGTCCCGTTGCTGAGTTGAGATCCTTCATTTCCCGAAATCTCTTGCATTTGCAGAGAGAGGGGGAGGGAAATTCATTTGCGTGCCTATTCCGGGGATGTCTGCAAAACAGGGATCGACGCCGAACCTTCAGTTCCAAGGTCCCTCAGAGCAGGGAGCTCACCGCAGAACAAAAATGGAAGACGAGGAACCTGAAACGCCAGACCCAGAGGAAAGGTGGAGGGGCAAAGCGGTGGTTTCTCGCCGATCTCGAGAAAAAAACGAGAGGCTGCCCAAAGCGAGGACGGCCCAGCACAAAGCGCATCACAACGCCAGTCGTTCCCCTCGTTCGGGGTGGAGGAATCTACTGCGCCCCACGGAGTTAGAAGACCGGCGGAGATTCTCTCCCTCCGCTGAGGGGACAGCAGTCACCCGCCTGTGGCCCAGGGTTGGCCGGGCCAGCCGGCATCCTTTGGTCCTCAGCGAGGAAAGCTCAGAGCCCCAAAACCTCTTGGACGCGGGAGAAATTGGAGAATCGGGGATGGTCAAGGTGAAGGAAGAAATTCTGGGAGACGACTCGGCCAGCATGGAGATGAAACGCCAACGTTTCCGCCAGTTCCGCTACCAGGAGGCCGAAGGTCCTCGCGAGGTGTGCAGCCAGCTCTGGTACCTCTGCCACCGGTGGCTGAAGCCGGAGAGACACACCAAGGAGCAGATCCTGGAACTGCTGATCCTGGAGCAGTTCCTGGCCATTCTGCCCCCGGAGATCCAGAGCTGGGTCCGGGAACATGAGCCAGAGACCTGCTCACAGGCAGCTTCCTTGGCTGAGGATTTCCTGCAGATGCAGCGGGAAGTGGAGAGGAAAGAACAGCAAGTAAGAACGTGGTTTCGGGAGGAGGGTTGGGGGGAGGGTGTGGATATAGAGTAAAGGGCTTGATAAGCATCCTTCTGGATCCCCCCCCCTCCCCATTGAACCCCAGGTCACAGTCTCCAAAGAGGCTCCTGAAAAGCCCAACTGGCACCAGCCTTGTTCTGTTGTTGCTCCTGAGCAATTGGGATTTATTTATTTAGCAGAGGTAGGTAGTGATGGCCCCTTTAGGACTTGTGGACTTCAACTCCCAGAATTCCTGAGCCAGAATGGGGAACTATGGCCCTTTTAGGACTTGTGGACTTCAACTAGACACAAGAAGAGTTTTTCCCCGAATGCCATCACTCTGCTAAACAAATAATTCCCTCAACACTGTCAAACTAGTTACTAAGGCTGCATTACTATGAATCTTCTCATTGTTCCTATCACCCATCTCCTCCCACTTTTTTTTTTAATTTTTTTTTTTATATAATTTTGATTTATATGCCGCCCTTCTCCGGAGACTCAGGGTGCCTTTCAATGTGCTCAGCAATAGCCTTCATTCTTTTGTATATTTATACAAAGTCAGCTTATTGCCCCACAACTGGGTCCTCAATTTACCTACCTTAGAAAGGATGGAAGGCTGAGTCAACCTTGAGCCTTGGCGAGATTCGAACCTGCAGTAATTGCAGGCAGCTGGTCTTAATAACCAGCTTAATAACAGGGTGCCTTAGACCACTGTACTACCAAGGCTCTTATCTGTGACTGTATGACTGTAACCTTGTTGCTGGTATCCTTGTTGACTGTTTCCCTATGACTATCATTAAGTGTTGTACCTTATGATTCTTGACCAATGTATCTTTTCTTTTATGTACTCCAAGAGCGTATGCACCAAGACAAATTCCTTGTGTGTCCAATCACACTTGGCCAATAAAGAATTCTGTTCTATTCTATTCTCCTAGAATTCCTGAGCCAGCATGGGAAACGATGGCCCCTTTATGACTTGTGGACTTCAACTCCCAGAATTCCTGAGCCAGTCATAAAAGGGCCATAGTTCCCCACCCCTGATTTAGCGCAATGTTTCTCAACCTTGATACCTTTGAGATGCATGGACTTCAAGTCCCAGAATTCCCCAGCCAGCAAATTCAGATGCTTGACAATTGGTTCATACTTATGACCGGTACTGTGTCCCAAGGTTATACGATCACTTTTTGCAACCTTTTGATGAGCAAAATCAATGAGGAAGACAAATTCACTTAACAACCATTATAATTATTATTATTTATTATATTTCTATACCGCCTTTCTCCCGTAGGACTCAAGGCGGTACAGTCAAGAAAAATATAGATACACAAACATCATAAAATTGCTAATTAAAATTATTATTATAACATAGTTTGGCCCAATTAAATAGAACCTATATAAATAGAACCTAATAGTAACCACGTTACTAACTTATCAACTGCAGTGATTCACTTAACAACTGTGGGAAGAAAGGTTGTAAAATGGGGCAAAACTCACAAATGTTTCACTTAACAACAGAAATTTGGGGCTCAATTGTGGTTGTATGGCAAGGACTACCTGTAACCAGGGCCGGATTTTCCTATAGGCTAACTAGGCTTCAGCCTAGGGCCTCAAGTTCAAGAGGGGCCTACATTCAAATTGTTAGCAAAATTAAAATTACACTTTCACTATAGGTGAAAGGGCCTCATAAGTGGAATAGCCTAGGGCCTCTTTTCATCTAAATCCGGCCCTGCCTGTAACCCATAAATAGGATATTGCTAGAAGGAATGAAAGGAGACAAAGCATATCTTATAATATTTATACAGGCAGTCCTCGACATACAACCACAATTGGGCCCAAGATTTGTGTTGCTGAGTGAGACATTTGTTAAGTGAATTTTGCCCCATTTTACGAACTTTCTTGCCACAGTTGTAAAGTGAATCATTCAAACTGTTAAGTTAGTAACCCGGTTGTTAAATGAATCTGGCTTCCCCATTGAGTTTGCTTGTCCGAAGGTCGCAAAAGGATCACATGACCTTGGGACATTGCAACCGTCATAAATATGAGTCAGTTGGCAAGCGTCTGAATCTTGATCACGTGACCGTGGGGACACCGCTTCATAAGTGAAAAACGGTCATAAGCCGCTTTTTTCTGTGCTGTGTTTATAACTTTCAACGGTCACTAAATGAATTGTTGTAAGTCGAGGGCTACCTGTACTTGTAATCTTTATCACTAAATGCATGGAGGATAAACAAAGCCAAACCTTTAAATCAGTGTTTTTTAACTTTGGCAACTTGAAGATGAGTGGACTTCAACTCCCAGAATTCTATGCTATGCTGGCTGGGGAATTCTGGGAGTTAAAGTCCATTCATCTTCAAGTTCCCAAGGTTGAGAAACACTGATTTAAATAAATGGAGTCTTCTAATCCAGGGTTTCCCAACCTTGGTGACTTTAAGATCTGTGGACTTCCAACTCCCAGAATTCTCCAGCCAACACAATACTGATGAGGAGGTATTTTATTGCCAGATTTTCAATTAATGTTGCTTCTCGGAGGTTGGCTGTGAAACTCACAAAAGAGCGATCGTGTGTTGTGGAGATGCTGTGACGATTGTTAAGCCCAAAGGCCAATTCTGAAAGTTACTTTTTCAATGGCATTGTAACTTTGAATGGTTACTAAACGGGGCCGTCATTAACTGAGGAATCCTTTTCTTTTAGGAGCAATTCCTCTCCATTGGTGTTGCTGATTTCCTCTTTCTTTCATTTGTTCCTCTTTATCTGGAGGCCTCTCGGACGATTGCTTTTCTGGGGTTACCCAGAATCACCCTTTATCACGTTGACTCTTAAGTGCCTCTTTATCAATCAGCCAGTCAGAATAGAGCTGGAAGGGACCGTGGAGGTCTTCTAGTCCAACCCCCTCGTTCAAATAGGAGACCCGATCCCATTTCAGACAAGTGGCTGTCCAGTCTCTTCTTAAAAACCTCCAGCGAGGAAGCATCCACAACTTCTGGAGCCAAGCTGTTCCTCTAGTTCAGGGGTCTGTAACCTTAAATACTCAAAGAGCCATTTGGACCCATTCATTTCCCACAGAAATGAAAACTCCGGGAGCCACAAAACCTAGGTGGGCGTGGCCAACTTGATGTCACTCATTTCCACCAGTCACATGACCCCCCCCCAGCCACGCCTACCCAGCCGGTCATTAGGGCAGAGAACCAATTGTTAAAAAACACCAGGAACCACAAAATCCTTTTGACATCTCTCTTTCTCCCCTCCCTCCCTCTCCCATCCACTTTCCCTTTCTTTCTGTATCTCTCTATGTCTCTCTCTCTCTCCCCGTCTCTCTGTATCTCTCTATGTCTCTCTCTCTCCCGTCTCTCTGTATCTCTCTATGTCTCTCTCTCTCCCCGTCTCTCTGTATCTCTCTATGTCTCTCTCTCTCCCCGTCTCTCTGTATCTCTCTATGTCTCTCTCTCTCCCCGTTCTCTCTGTATCTCTCTATGTCTCTCTCTCTCCCCGTCTCTCTGTATATCTCTATGTCTCTCTCTCTCCCCATCTCTCTGTATCTCTCTGTCTGCCCTGGCCGCTTCTCCATCCCCTGCCGTCGCCCTTCTCAGGCCAGGCGAGGAGTGACTGGGAGGGGAGGGTGAGGGGCAGGGCCAGCCAATGGTGGGATCACCTGACAGGGAGCCACAGCAGAGGGTCCAAAGAGCCACATGCGGCTCCGGAGCTGCAGGTTGCTGACCCCTGCTCTAGTTAATTGTTCTCACTGTCAGGAAATTTATCCTTAGAGTTGCTTCTCTCCAGGGTGGATTTGATTTAAATCGAGTTGATTTAAATCACAATTTAAATCATGATTTAAATCACTAGTAAAAAGGCTTGATTTAAATCAACTCGATTTAAATCATTTTTAAAGAGCAACTGTCATCTCTGCTACTCCTTTGACCCACTGTTGACTCACCGATAGTCCCAGTGTTGCAGAATATACAGCCTCATGCTACATAACTAAGCTCCATTTCATGCTGAATAAACTAAATTATTTATGTATCTTAAATAGAAAACTATCTTACGATGGATTTTTACCCCCAAAGTTTTTTATTAAAATAAATTTGATAAAAATCAAAAAAATTCGATAAAAATCAAAAAAATCCGATTTTAAAAAAAATCTGATTTTTTTGATTTTTTTTTAAAAAATCATTGATTTTTATCCACCCTGCTTCTCTCCTTGATTAGTTTCCACCCATTGCTCCTTGTCCTGCCCTTAGGTGCTTTGGAGAATAGCTTGACTCCCTCTTCTTTATGGCAACCCCTGAGATATTGGAACACAGCTATCACATCACTCCTAGTTCTTTTCTCTAGACTGGCCATATCCAGTTCCTGCAGCCGTTCTTCATATGTCCTGGATCTTGTTCTGAAATGGGATCTTTTCCTATTTCAGGTGCTCGGGCTGTTTGAAATGGATAACGAGGATTCTCCAGAGGCCGAGGCCGAACAGCCTCCGTCCGTCGCCGTGCCAGAGCCTCTTTTCAGAGAAGCCAAGCAAGAAACCGACGAAGAAGAACACAGCAATTTAGGTACCATTCCCAATTCACTTGGTTATGGGGGCCCATCTTGATTTCTGGGTCCGTTTTGGTCCTTGGAGCCAATCTCAATTGTAGCTCTTTTTTTGTGGACTTTCAGACAGGATTGAAAATTACGATCCTTGCAATGTTCCTGTGGTCAGATGATCAAAACTGAAGCACTTGGCAACCAGAATGTATTTTCAACGGTTGCAGTGTCCCAGAGGGTCACGATTGCCATTTGCGACCTTCTTGGTTGCTTCTGAAAAACAAAGTCAAAAGGGGAAAACGGGATTCGCTCAACCACAGCGATGCGCTTAATGACCACAGCAAAAAGGGGTGTAAAATTGGGCACAATTTATTTAACAATTGCATCACTTAGCAATGGATGTTCCAATCCCAATTATGGTCGTAAGCTGAGGACTAGCTTAGGGTGTTGTGGAGGGAGGAACAATATGAAAATGAGCCAAGGTAGCGAAGTGGTTAGAGTGCAGTACTGCAGCTACTTCAGCTGACTGCTAGTTCAGCAGATCAGCGGATCAAATCTCACCGGCTCAAGGTTGACTCAGCCTTCCATCCTTCTGAAGTGGGTAAAATGAGGACCCAGATTGTTGGGGGCAATATGCTATTTAGTATACTGTCAATTGTTGTAAGCCGTCCAGAGTCCTCTGAGAGTGGGAATATGACTAATAGAAATATGACTAATAGAAATATGACTAATAAAAATAAAAGTTCTTAAGAATGTTGAAGCCTTAGTTCCTGCCAAGTTGTTCCCCCAGGGAGCTGATCCTCTTTGTATGGTTATAGTAGACTTACTCCATTAAATAAAGGGTGGGCAATTAATTTTCCCAAGGGGCCCCATGAGAAACTGAGACTGTTGTGGAGGGCATCTCTGCCTCAGCAGAAATTTAACTTCACATGAGGCCGAGTCCCTCTGGCAAGCAGCTCTTTCATGCTACCTGATTAATGGGGCTCCCCTTGAAGAGCACCCAGAGGCTCCAGCTGGTCCAGAATGCGGCCGCGCGGGTGGTTATGGGAGCGACGTGGCGCTTCCATGTGACCCCCCTCCTGTGCGAGCTGCAGTGGCTCCCGGTGGTCTTCCAGGTGCGCTTCAAGGTTTTGGTTACCACCTTTAGAGCGCTCCATGGCCTAGGACCGGGGTATCTACGAGACCGCCTTCTGCCCCCAGTAGCCTATCACCGACCAGTACACTCCCATAGAGAGGGGCTTCTTAGGGTGCTGTCGGTCAAACAGTGTCGACTGGCGGCCCCCAGGGGGAGAGCCTTCTCTGTGGGAGCACCTGCCATCTGGAACGAGCTCCCCCTGGAGATACGGAGGATCACAGATCTGCGCGCTTTCCGCTGTGCCCTCAAAACATTCCTATTCCAGCAGGCCAGCTTTGCCTAACCTCTTTTTTAAACTGTTTTTAAATTTTTTAAATTTTAAATTTGTCTTATAAATTTGGGGTGTTTTAAATTTTGTTTTCTGGGCCAAATTATTTAATTGTATTTTAATGGTTTTTTTAACATTTGTATTATATGTATTTTATCTTTTGGCTGTTCACCGCCCTGAGTCCTTCGCGAGTAGGGCGGCATACAAATTCAATAACAATAATAATAATAATAATGACTGCAATAGGGAATGCTGGGATTGCAATCATTGAGTGAAGCAATTACACGGCATTTTGCTTGAATAGGGGGTTGGACTAGAACACAGTTCCCCAACTTTTCTGGGTTGGCGGCCCAGAGCAAGGGAGAGGGGGGGAAAAGAAGGGTTTTGTGGGAAGGGTAGGTGAGCTTCCATTCTCGCGGGAGTGGGGCCCGGTTGTGAACAGGCCGTGGCCTGGTATTGGGCCACAGCCTACAGGTTGAGGAATCCCTGGATTAGAAGACCTCCAAGGTCTCTTCCAACTCTTGTTATTCTTTTAACAACGGCTTCATTCAAAGGTTCTGATCTCAGCTGTGGTCATAAGTAAAGGACTACCTGTACTTTAAGTGGATTGAGCATTTCCCCACACGTGGGTATATATAGTACAAAGGTTTGCACAAAGGCGTGCAAAGGTTTTAGGCAGTTGTGCAAAAATGCTGTAAATTTAGAATGCTTTCAGAAATATAAGTGTTAATAGGTTTTTTTTTGTCACTTAACAAAATGGGAAGAAAATGAACACAAGAGAAATCCAGATCAAACCGGTATTTGGTGTGACTTCAAAACAACATATTCATATTTATTTACTATATAATTTGAATACAAATATTAGATAGATAGATAGATAGATAGAGAGAGAGAGAGAGAGAGAGAGAGACAGACAGACAGACAGACAGACAGACAGACAGACAGACAGACAGACAGACAGACATAAATAGATATATAGATACATAAATTGATAGATGATAGATAGATAGATAGATAGATAGATAGATAGATAGATAGATACATACATACATACATACATACATACATACATACATACATACATAGATGATAGATACATAGATACATAGTTACATAGATGATAGACAGGCAGGCAGGCAGATAGATAGATAGACAGACAGACAGACAGACAGACATAAATAAATATATAGATACATAAATTGATAGATGATAGATAGATAGATAGATAGATAGATAGATAGACAGACAGACAGACAGACAGACAGACAGACAGACAGAGACATAAATAGATATATAGATACATAAATTGATAGATGATAGATAGATAGATAGATAGATAGATAGATAGATAGATAGATAGATAGATAGATAGATACATACATACATACATACATACATACATACATACATACATACGTAGATGATAGATACATAGATACATAGTTACATAGATGATAGGCAGGCAGGCAGACACAGACAGATAGATAGATAGATAGACAGACAGACAGACATAAATAAATATATAGATACATAAATAGATAGATAGATAGATAGATAGATAGATAGATAGATAGATAGATAGATAGATAGATAGACAGACAGATAGACAGACAGACAGACATAAATAGATACATAGATACATAAATTGATAGATGATAGATACATAGTTACATAGATGGCAGGCAGGCAGGAAGACAGACAGACAGACAGACAGATAGATACCGTGTTTCTCCAAAAAGAAAGCCAGGTCTTATTTTCTTTCGACCCCCGAAAAAACGGCTAGGCCTTCTTTTTGGAGGTTTCTAATTATTGACTCACCTCGCAACGGTGGCACCGACAGTCCCTCCCAGCAGGAGCCCACTGCTGGCCCACTTCTTCTGTGGTGCTTGCCGCCACTCGCATGCATCGCCCCGGCCTCTTGTTTTGCCTTTAGATGCCTTCCGGCAGGCATCTAAAGATGAAACAGAAGCCAGGATTGATGCGTGCGAATGGCGGGAAACAGCCGCAGAAGCAGCGGCCGCAGAAGAAGCTGAGGAGGTGTCGGGGTTTGTGAGGCCTGGTAAGTAGGGCAGCTCCACCCCCTCCCATCCTCACCCTAGCTTATTTTTTACTTGTGTGCCTCGGCCCACCCCCTGCACCCTAGGGTGGACAAGGTCTTAATTCGGGCTAATTTTGTGGTGGGGCTTAATTTGATCGCATATGCTCAAAAACGTGATAGGGCTTCTTTTCAAGGTGGGTCGTCTTTTTGGAGAAACACGATAGATCCATGATGGCGAACCTATGGCACACGTGCCACAGGTGGCACGCGGAGCCATATTAGTGGGCACGCCAGCTCAGCTCTGGGGCGCATGCGCGCGCCGGCCAGCTGATTTTCAGGCCTTCTGGGCCCACCAGAAGTAGGGAAACAGGCTGTTTCCTGCCTCTGGAGGGTCTGGGAGGGGGGGGGAAGGCCCGTTTTTCTTTCTTACCTGGCTCCAGATCCTCTCTGTGTATCTGGGAACGGCGAAAACAGCCTTTCCCATTCCCTTGGAAGCCGTACGGAGGCTGAAAGGGCCCATTTCTCGACTCCCGGTGGGACAGGAAGTGACATTTTTTGCTGTCCCCAGCCTCCAGAGAGGCTCCTAGAGGCAAGGTAAGAAAGAAAAATGGGCCTACCAGGCCATCATGTACCAGGAACGGAGGGGGGGTGGAGAAGGTTGCACACACATGTGCGTGGGCATGTGCGACCCTCCCCCGCCCCCCCTCTCCTGGCACGCGATGGCAAAAAGGTTAGCCATCACTGCGATAGATGGATGGATAGGTAGTTAGATAGACAGACAGACAGACAGACAGACAGACAGACAGATGATGTATACTGTAAATAACATATATAAAGCTATATAAAGCTCTAACTTTATTAGCCGGTACACTCTCATAGAGAGGGGCTCCTCCGGGTGCCGTCGGCCAGACAATATCGACTGGCAGCCCCCAGGGGGAGAGCCTTCTCTGTGGGGGCACCTACTATCTGGAACGAGCTCCCCCCGGAGATACGGAGGATCCCAAATCTGCGCACCTTCCGCCGCGCTCTTAAGACCTTTTTATTCCACCAGGCGGGCCTGGCCTAACTTTCTCCCTCTTTTTAAATAATTTTTAATATTTTTTAATATTTAAAGTTTAATTTGTTTTAAATTGATTGGGGTTTTTTAATCTGTCTGGGCCAAACTATTTAATCCAATTTTATTTCTGCTTTTTAAATTTTGTATGTATGTATTTTATTGTTGGCTGTTCACCGCCCTGAGTCCTTCGGGAGTAGGGCGGTATAGAAATATAATAAAATAAAATAAATAAATAAATAACACTCAACAGCATATAAATCCAAGAAATAAAATAAGCTGACAATTTATTTTTCTCCTTCCTCTGCTTGGCCCTGCAGGATCTCTCAGGCAGGTGGAAGCGCGGAGGGGGCCCCCTCTCCCCCTCTATCCAGAAGAGGGCAGCTCTGATGACGAAGGCCTGCTGGACCTGGTCTACGCCACTAACCTCGAGCTCCACAGTCGGCGGCCTCCCCGTCGAACCCGCCTCATCCGGATGCGCACCCACGAGCTCCAGGTGTCCGACGAGGAGTGCCTGACCCGCTTCCGGCTGGACCGCCAGGCCATCCAGGACCTGTGCACTCTTCTGGCCCCTTACCTAGACGGGGCCTCGGCGAGTCGACGGCACATTCCGACGTTACAAAAAGTCCTGATAGCCCTCCAGGTTCTCGGCACCGGCTCCTTCCAGAGAATGACGGGAGATAACCTGCGGGTATCTCAATCGTCCGTCAGCCGCTGCTTGGATGCGTTCCTGGAGGCCATGTTGCGTCACGTACACGAGCACATCACGTTTCCTACCACTGACTCAGAGCTGCGACGGACCAGGGAAGCGTTCTTCGACATCGCGGGATTCCCCAACGTCATTGGGATTGTGGACTGCACCCACGTGCCTATTATAGCCCCTGCAGACATGCCGGCGCTGTATCGAAATTGCCACAACTTCCACAGCCTCAACGTGCAGGCCACTTGCGACGCCTCGGGTTGTTTTACTCACGTCTTGGCCAAGTTCCCCGGAAGCGTCCACGACGCACGGATCTTCCAACTCTCCCAATTGCAAAGGTTGCTTGAGTCGTGGCCGGAAGGGAAGGGGTGGCTCTTAGGTAAGCTCTTCCTGGGGGGAGTGAGCTGTCCATTTTGAAGCAGGGACGTCTGGGAGATGGGGAGGAAGGAGGGAATTCCCGGAGTACGGGTAGTCCTCCACTTATGACCACAGTTGAGCCCGTTTTTCTTGCTAAGTGAGTTTTGCTCCATTTTACGATCTGTCTTGCTACGGTAGTTAAATGAGTCAGCGCAGTTGTTAAGCTAGTAACATGGTTGTTACGTGAATTTGACTTCGCTTGTCAGAAAGTGGCAAAAGAGGATTACATCAGAGGTGAAATGCTCCTGGTTCAGACCGGTTCGGCCGAATCAGTAGTGATTGCGGCCGGTGGTTCGGAGAACCGGTAATGATGGCGGCGCGAGGCTCCGCCCGCCCACCCGGTCGTCATTACTTCCTGGTTTTAACCAGGAAGTAACCTGTTTTTTACCAGAAGAGTTTGCACATGCGCAGAGAGTCCACGCATGGGGCACGTTCGCTTCTGAACCGGTTGGGAAGGTAAGTAGATTTCGCCCCTGGATCACATGATTCCAGGACTCTGTAACCGTCCTAAATAAATAAAAAGATGTTGAGACTTTGGAAAAAGCGCAAAAAAAGAGCAACGGAGATGATTAAAGGCCAGGAGACTAAAATATGGAGAACAGTCACAAAATTTGGGTTTGGCTAGTCCAGAGAAAAGAAGGACTGGGGGGACATGATTGTATTCCAATATTTGAGGGGCTGCCACACAGAGGAGGGGGTCAACTTATTTTCCAAAGCACCAGGGGGCAGGACAAGAGACCATGGATGGAAACTAATCAAGGAGAGAAGCAACCTGGAATTAAGGAGAAACTTCCTAACAGTGGGAACAATTAATCACTGGAACAGCTTTGCCTTCAGAAATTGTAGGTGCTCCATCACTGGAGGCTTTTAAGAAGAGACTGGACAACTTGTCTGAAATGGTATAGGGCCATGATGGCGAACCTGTGGCACGGGTGCCACAGGTGACATATGGAGCCATATCAGTGGGCACGCGAGCATTGCCATAGCTCAGCTCCAGCACCCATGCGTGCGCCGGCCAGCTGATTTTTGGGCCTTCCGGTCCCACTGGAAGTTGGGAAATGGGCTGTTTCCGGCCTCTGGAGAGCCTCCAGAGGGGTGGGGAAGGCCATTTTCGCCCTCCCCAGGCTCCTAGAAAGCCTCTGGAGCCTGGGGAGGGTGAAAAACGGGCCTACCGGGCCCACCGTGCCATCACGTGCTAAAAAGGGGGGGGGGCTCAGGGGCAGGGTGCATTGAATTATGGGTGTGGCCACACACTTAGGTTACCTCCCCACACTCCCCCCGCTTTTGGCACACGATGGCAAAAAGGTTAGCCATCACTGGTATAGGATCTCCTGCTTCAGCAGGGGGCTCGTCTAGAAGACCTCCAAGGTCCCTTCCAGCTCTATTCTGATTAATTGAATAAATATGAGTCAGTTGCCAAACATCTGTCCACCCTGGGGATGCTGAAATGGTCATAAGTGCGACAAACGATCATGAGTGCCTTTTTTTTCAGGGCCCTTGTAACTCTACAGTCACTAAACGAACTATTTATTTATTTATTTATTTTATTTTATTTATATGCCGCCCTTCTGAAGGACTCAGGGCGGTGAACAGCCATAATAAAAACAATGTACAAAATAGAATTTAAAAGCAGATTAAAATAATTAAATCATAGGCTGAATTTAAAACTCATTTAAAACCAATTTTAAAACCCCATTAAAACCAAATTAAAACCATTTATCCCATCAGAGCGGCTTGCTGGAATAACAGGGCCTTCACTGCATGACGGAAGGCGCAGAGGTCGGGGATCCTTCGTATGTCTGGGGGCAATTCGAGGCAGGGGCAGGGGCCCCCACAGAGAAGGCTCTCCTCCTGGGGGGTCACCAGTCTACATTGTTTGGCTGACGGCACCCTGAGGAGGCCCTCTGTGTGAGCGTACCAGTCGGTGGGAGGCAATCGGTGGCAGAATGCGGTCTTGTAGATAGCCAGGTCCTAAGCCATGGAGTGCTTTAAAGATGGTAACCAACACCTTGAAGCGCACCCGGAAGACCACCAGGAGCCAGTGCAGCTCGCGCAAGAGGGGTGTTACATGGGAGTGACCGGTCGCCCCCATTATTACTCGCGCGGCCGCATTCTGGACCAGTTGGAGCCTCCGGGTGCTCCTCAAGGGAAGCCCCATGTAGAGAGCGTTACAATAGTCCAGACAGGAAGTGACGAGGGCGTGAGTGACTGTGCGCAAGGCGTCCCGATCCAGAAAGGGGCGCAACTGGGAAATCAGGCGAACCTGATAAAAAGGTTTATAAGTCGAGGACTACCTGTACTGTACCCTTGTGTGCTGACACTGGCTTCCTCTCTTCCACAGGCGACTCGGGGTATCCTTTACGGTCTTTCCTCATGACCCCGCACGCTGATGACGGCCCCGAGCCCGTGGCGCGCTACAACGCAACCCACAAGACGACGCGGATGGTGGTGGAGACGGCTTTTGGGCAGCTCAAGATGAGGTTCCGCTGCCTTCACTCCACTGGGGGGCGCTTGATGCTCCGCCCGGAGAAAGTGGCGAAAGTTTTTGTCGTCTGCGCCATGCTTCATAACATGGCCTTGAGACGCCAGCTGCCTATCATCAATGGAGGACAAGGGGTGGACACTGAGGTCCCTGTGCCTCCATACCTGGAGACCGACAGCATGGTAGAACAAGATCCTCAGGGAGTAGAAGTCCGGGATCAGATCATTAGCACTTATTTCTCACAATAAATGAGCTTTTAATAGGTGAAGTGCAGTTGGCTAGTCTGTTCTTCTTCCCTAGGGGGCTGTGAGAGGAGACACGGGGTTGTGTGATCGCACAACTGCCTTCCCCGCCCTGGAAGATCTCCTAAAGCAGGGGTGTCAAACTGGCGGCTCGCAGGCCGGATGCATCACACGCAGGCCACGCTCACCCCAGCTCCACAAAGGCAAAAAAACGTCACGTGATGTCACGTGACGCGATCGAGTTTGACACCCGTGCCCTAAAGGGTGCTGCGTATCATCATCATCATCTTTTAATGACCCTCATAATCCCTTGCGGGATGGAGTCTGGCTGACCGAATGGAGCTGAGCGTATACTGGCCAGATGCCCTTCCTGTCACCAATGCGGAGTTCTATTCAGCAGCTATATTCTCATTGTGCCCGGAGAGAGAAATATCTGCCTCTACCTAGGATCGAACTCACAGCCTCCCGATTGTGAGGCGACAGCTTCACCTCTAGGCCACCGCACCACTCTAAAGGGTGCTGCGTATGCCTAACATAATGTTTTTTAGGAGGAGGTTAGGGGAATTTATCTCACAAGCTGACAGGAATTTATCTCACAAGATGGTGGGTTTTATGGTAAAGAATAGAGATGCAGAGAACTGGATTTGGTGCTCTTCTGGATCGCATTGCGTGAAACTCTTAGAAGATATCAGAAGAAAAAGAGACGTTGAGAGTTCCACAAATCTAATTTACAAACATTCATGGAATGTAAGTGTTGAAAGAGATCTTCAAGTTCATCTGATTAAGAGTTTTGCAAACTTGGGGACTTTAAGATATGTGGACTTCGACTCCCAGAATTCCCCAGCCAGCATAGCATAGAATTCTGGGAGTTGAAGTCCACACATCTTTAAAGTCCCTAGGTTTGAAAAACTCTGTTCTATAGAAACAATCATTGTATTCAATGTCAGACATTTTATTTTATTTATTTATTTATTTAAATTTCTATACCGCCCTACTCCCGAAGGACTCAGGGCGGTGAACAGCCAGAGGATAAAACACATAAATACAAAAATTTAAAATAGAATAAAAACGAATTAAATAATTTGGCTGAATTTAAAATACCCCATAATTTAAAAACAAATTAAAATTTACATTTAAAAAAGGGGAGAAGATTTAGGCCAGGCCAGACATTATAGCATCTATAGGTAGTCCTCAACTTACAACAGTTCATTTAGTGACCGAAGTTACAACGGCACTGAAAAAAGCAAGTTACAGCCGTTGGCAAGAAAAATCGTAAAATGGGGCAAAACTCACTTAACAAATGTTTCACTCAGCGACATAAATCTTGAAGTCAATTATGGTCGTAAGTCGAGGACTACTAGCATTTCCATCTGGGACCCATCGTCCACAACTGGAAATATCTTTTGCACCTATCGTAGTGCTATTGGTTGTGCCAGATGTGGATGATGGGTACTGCGGCTCAGCACTGCGAGATGGGCATAAAAAACAAAGGCTTGCAGCCTGCGAAGATATTAAATTTGTTTTCATTCCCCAGAAGATCACTGGTGTCTAATGCACAAGGATTTTATTTGGAAGTGAAAACTGTTTTAACTACTCTCAGGTAGTCTCAGTGCATGGATTTCTAGCCTGAAACACGCCTCTCCCACCACTCCCAACGGACCGTAAAAAAATCACATTAATTTGAAGCGTCTCATCAATTTACCCACCTAGCCATTATAGATAATCCTCAACTTCTTACGACCACAATTGGGTCCTGGAATTTCAGTTGCTAAACAATATGGTCTTTAAGTGAGACCATACCTGATTTTACGATCATTGTTCTTGTCATTCATCCAGCTGGTTGGGAAGGTTGCAAAATCATAATCAAGACGAATAGAATAGAATAGAATAGAATAGAACAGAACAGAACAGAACAGAACAACAGAATAGAATAGAATAGAATAGAATTCTTTATTGGCCAACTGTGAATTTGTCTTGGTGCATACGCTCTCGGTGTACATAAAAGAAAAGATACATTCGTCAAGAATCATAAGGTACAACACTTCATGATAGTCATAGGGAACAAATAAGCAATCATTAGGAAACAGTCAATATAAATCTTAAGGATACCAGCAACAAGGTTACAGTCATACAGTCATAAATCGGAGGAGATGGGTCGTTTTGAGGGTAGGAGTTGAAACAGTTTATGTCCAGGATGCGTGGGGTCTGTAAATATTTTCACAGCCCTCTTTTTGACTCGTGCAGTATACAGGTCCTCAATGGAAGGCAGGTTGGTCACCATTGCTTTTTCTGCAATAAGAGATGAAAGGAGGAAATCGGGCATTTCCATTCGGCTTCACACTTCCAAACTATTCACCAGATCTTTAAACTCACTTTCTGGAAATTAGATGCTCACTTTGGCTATATTTCAATGTTGGAGAACTCTAGGGTTATTCACCTATATCAAGGGTTGGCATTTCCAAGAGCCCGATTTGCAATCCTGTGACCAACGGGGTAGTGCAATGGTGGTCATTTCAAGGACAGAATGTAAGTTTTTTCCGAGGCTGTCATAACTTGAAGCCGTCATTAAATGAATGGTCATAAGTTGAGGACTATCTGGCCTTTTCTGTCACGTTTCTGGTGTGTTTTCTGTTGCATCTCATTAAGATGCAGGGAGCATTCTGAGTGGGGGAGCCCAAAATTAATCAAATGAAAACCCCATGCAGTGTGTGTGGGGGGTGACCCTTTGCTTGATGTATTAGTCATGAGATTGAAACCCATTGCTGGTTTCTAGTAATCACCGTGTTTGTTTCTAGGTGCTCACGAATCTGCGAATGATCTTTTCCAGGATTTTTCCAGATACTGATGGCAAGGTGACGTAGGTCTGTAGTTTCCTGGATCCACCTTTTTCCCCCACCTTTTGAAGACTGGAACTGCATTGGTTCTTTTCCAGTCCTTTGGCAGTTCCCACATACTCCAGGAGCTCTGAAAAATTTAAGCCGGTGGTTCCAAGATCACATCTGCCGCCTCCTTCAGTAGCCTTAAGACAAGATGTTCTGTCCCCGTACCACACACGCACCCCCACGGACGGCCCGGAGTTAATAAGCCACACGACAAAACTCTTTGAAGATAAAGCTGGCAGCAACCCAGTGGCTAGCTGCCAATTCAGACTTTACTCACACAAAACAAAGATTAGACTGCAAGCATTCCAATAAAGCAGGCAGAGTTTCAACAATACAAGGATTAATCCAAATGCAGTCCGATAAAGCAGGCAAAGTCCAGCAACACAGAGATCATGGATTATTTCTAGTTTTTGTTTGTCACAAACATTGAACCGGCCACCACACCCACATTTATACCCTGTGGGGTGTGGTCCAGTGACTCAGGCTCCAGCCAGCACTTATCTTCTTCGTCGCTGTCCACCTGTGGCTGCGGGGATGTGCTTGGCTCTGAGCCTATCTTTTAGCTTTCGGTGTCCTCTGGAGGCATTGCCAGAGAGGAGGGTCCTGGAGAGGGAGGCCTTGCCAACTCCTCTCCCTCACTCTCAGAGTCTGCATCTGTCGATAGCCCAGGCTCAGGCAACGGAGCCACAACACAAGGGTCCCCAATCCAACCAATCTTATTTCATTTTTCAACATAGTGACTAAATTAGTAGACCAGCGAAATACTGTGGGCATAATATTCGTAGACTTCAGCAAGGCATTCGATAAAGTAGACGACAACCTACTTCTTGGTAAACTAGACAAAAGTGGGATAGATAGCGTCATCACCAGATCAGCAGTGAAATCTGGCCGGATCTATCCGGCTCACGTGAACCGGTAGCGCTAGTGGTGGGAGGCTCCGCCCACCTGCCGGGACGTCATTACGTCCTGTTTTTGACTCTCTGTGTATGTGCAGAAGGCTCTGCACATGTGCAAAAGAGGTGCGCACACTCACTCCCGAAACGGTAGCGGAGGTAAGTGCGTTTCATCGCTGTACCAGATGGATTCGTAACTGGCTGACAAACCATACTCAATGAGTAGTTCTTAATGGGTCTACGTCTACATGGAGGGAAGTAAGCAGTGGGGTACCACAAGGTTCTGTCTTAGGCCCAGAACTCTTCAATATCTTCATAAATTAGAAATGTAAGATTTACACAAGCCCAAAACTTAAGAGAGAACTTTTATAAAATGTTTTATAGATGGCATTTAGATCCAAAAAAACTAGTCTGTATGTATCCAAACTTACAACCTAAGTGTTGGCGATGCGAGTGTGAAGATGCTACGTATTTTCACATATGGTGGACATGTAAAAAAATTAAGGCTTTTTGGATAAAAATATGGTGGATTATTCAAAATATTTTAAAGAAAAATATTAAATTTACACCACAGTTTTTTTTTTTGTAGGGAATAGTTACGGATTGTACTGTAATAGAGACTAAGTTGGTTTTGAATTTAATAACAGCTGCCAGGTTACTGGTGGCACAGTATTGGAAGAAGGAAGATCCTCCTACTATTGAGGAATGGACACTAAAAGTCGTACATTTGGCAGAGATGGCAAAAATTTCATCATATCTTAAAGACCATTCAAACAAAAGATAAATATTGGAATGGAGAAGATGGCTCGACTATATTCAAAACAAGTATTGGACTAAGAAGATTTCTATAGCTTATGAATGAAACATTTTCAATCTCTAGTTTATGTTTATAGGGTTTTGAGCTTTAAGGAGTTAAAGACCTAGAGAGAATCTGAAGTCAATAATTTGTTAGCACATTTTAGTTCTATGTTTGTGAATGCTGTACCCTGTGCTTGTTCTGGGAAGTCTAGGGAGGGGGGTGGGGGGGAAGGGGGAGGGGGAAAGGATGGGTGGGAGGGCAAGGGGGGAGGGATGGGGTGAGGGGGGAAGGGGGAGGGGAGAAAATGTTTGTATTTCCTATAAAACTTTTCAATAAATATATATATATATATATATATATATATCTTCATAAACAACTTAGATGAGGGAATAGAAGGGGAACTTACTAAATTTGCGGATGATACAAAACTGGCAGGAATAGCCAACACCCTA